CCAGCTGACCAGGGAGCCCCAGAGACTTGACTACCTTTCCCTCCTCAGCACTTGAGTTACAAACCCAGCTTTTGCTGCTGTTTTTGTTGTTGTTTGTTTTTTTTTGGTAGCCCAGGTTGCCTCAAACCCACTACGTAGCTGAGGCTAGTTTTGAACTCCTGATCCTCTTGCCTCAGCCTTCCAAGTGCTGGGATTGCTAGAAATTGAATTCAGGTTCTTGTACTTCCCAGGCAAACACTAATGACTAAACTCTCCCCAGCTCCCCCATTACCTTTCTTAGCTGCTGAGATGCTAGAAAGAAGGTTCCGTGTTTCCGTGCTTCCTGACAGCGGAGGCTGCAGAGGACAGTGCTGTGATGAGACCTCTCCACTGGGGTCCTGTGTCCATGATCCCCACACCCGGAGGGAGCTTGTCTCCTGACAGCTGGGTCTCACACCAGCACAGTTAATTTGCTGCTGTTCCTGAGGAGCAACAGCAACTTGAACAAAGCAATTAGGATGAAAAAGAGGCACAGCTGCTGGGGCCATAGGAAAATAAACAGACTGGTGCTGTGTGTACTCCATAACCAAGAGGAGCAATCCTTCACAGGGTGATTAGCTTTTCCAACCACAGCCTCTTCCCATCTCTGGAAGGAAGACAAGGTGGCTGCTGTTATTCCCGGATCCGACTCTTCCCAGGGTGTACAGGTCATCCTTTCCTCATGACGTCTTCTCCGCCCCCCACCCCAACCCTCACTGTCGAACAGAAACTTTCCCTACCCCTTTGAAGTCTGAGGCTTGCTATGTACCTCCCCTAGGGTTTTTGTTGTTATTATTAATATATTGACTCATCCATTTGTTCTTTCTGTCAGCAGGCATCCATTAAACACTATTCATTCATCTAACAGATGGTACACATCCTTGCTATGTTGTAGACACTGTTCCTGGTACTAGTGATACATCAGTGAACAACACAAACAAAAGTCTCTGCCCTTGACCTGGGAACATAGCCCAGTGGTAAGGTGCTTGCCTAGCATGCTGGAAGCCCTGGGCTCAAACCATGAGTTAGGAGATCCCTGCTCTCATGGGGTTCAAATTTTAGTTGGGAGAAAAAAAACAAGAAACAGATGAAAAGATAGCAGAAAGAATGATGGTAAATGCTGTAGAGGAAAACAGAGAGCTGGAGAGAGAGAGAGTTCAGCAGTTAAGTGGTCTTCTTGCAGAGGACGACATTTTGGGGTGTGTGTGTGTGTCTTAATCATTGTTCTATTGCTGTGAAGAGACAACATGACCATGGCAACTTTTATAAAAGAAAGCATTTAAAAGGGGCTTGCTTACAGTTTCAGAAGTTTAACCCAATATCATCATGGCAGAAGCATAGTGGCACATAGGCAGAAAGTTATGCATCTGGATCCACGGGCAGCAGGAACAGAGAGTGAACCAGTAGGCTTGGCTTAGGCTTTTGAAACCGCGACGCTAACCACAATCAACACACCCCTCCAATGAGGCCATATCCACTCCAACAAGGCTACCCTTCCTAATCTTTCTCAAGTAGTGCCACTCCCTGATGACTAAACATTCAAATATATGAGCCTCTGGGGGCATTCTTATTCAAACCACCACAGTGTGTCTGTGTACACATGTATGCTTGCGTGTGCGTATGTGTGCTTGCATGGATGTGCTCATGCATGTGCCATTTGCCCATAAGATAGTTGTTATTCCTCAGATGCCATCCATCTACCTTTCTTTTCTTCCTGAGAAAGGGTCTCTCATTGGCCAGGGAGCTCCTAGGACTTCAGCATCTCTGCCGCACCAGTGTTGGGGTTGCATGCCTATGCCTCCACCCCCAGCCTTTTAAGGTGGATGCTGCAGATCAAACTCAAGTCCCTGTGCTTTCAAGGCAACATTTTACCAACTGAGCTGTCTCTGCAGTTCCTTCATTACCTTTCTTTGTTGCTAGCTGGCTTTTTATTTATTTTTATGTTTTTAAACATAGGCTCTTGAGATTTAATTCAGGTCCTCCCACTTGCAAAGCAAGCACTTTACTAACTGGGCTATCTCCTTAGCTTTTCTTAATTTTTTTGTTTTAATTTTTTGAGACAATGTCTCTCTATGTAGTCCTGGCTGTCTGGGAACTTGCTATGTAAATCAGTTTGGCCTCAAACTCAGAGGTCGACCTGCCTCTGCCTCCCTAGTGTTGGGATCTAAGGCATGCACCACCACACCAGGCTCTAGCTTAAAATTATCAAATAAGTCAAGTTTGGGA